ATTTTCATATTAACTCTTTAATGAGGAAACGTATAAATCTATGGAGTTTCTTAATGAAAACCAAATAAATCAATACAAATATAAAAATGTATCAAATCATTATTTTATTTTTCATTTTGACTCTTTTTCTATATTGAAATTTATTCAAATTGAGTCAAGATTATGAAATTAGAAATGTTTTTTCAACGCTTCAATATGAAATATTCACGTTCGTTTACATGGAAATTTCTTCTCAAAATTCATGAAATGAAACAGTTTTAAATACATAATTTATAAAAGTCAAATTTCAAAGTTTTTTTTTCTCAAACATTTCATATTCATGTCGTTTAATTTTCTAAAGAAACGTTAAATTACAACAAGCAAAAGATGTGATCTATTTTCTTGTAGAAATATTTCTTTTCTCAAAATCGTTGAAATAAAACACTTTCAAATACATAATTGATTGAACTCCAATTTCCAAAGTTTTTACTTTAAACATTTCATATATTCATGTGATTTATACCTTATTTCACAAAGTTTGAAATTACTCTATTTTCTTGTAAACAAACTTTTTTTATCTCAAAAAATTATTGATTTGCAGTCATATTTCAAAGTTGCTTTTTTTTTCTCAAAACAATAAATATTTGATTTGTACGAACTTATTTTTTTATAACAAAAGTTGCGTTTCCTTAACTCGATCAATTCTTGTTACGTTTTTCTCTGTTTCATTTATTTGTCTGTTTCGCCGCTCCTAAATTTGATCCCCTCGAGTTACGAAGAAGTTACGAAGACTACGATAATTTATTCCATTAAAAACTCCGGCCTGAGAACAGAACTTTTCAACAGTTATAGTTCTTCCAAATCATCTCCAAAAAAAAAAACAACAACTTGTAGTCTTAACTTTGTTGGGAAATCTTCGTGCTTTACTCGATTTAATCAACAATCGGTTGAACGTACACCATTCTTTCAGTCGGGACGGACGCCGAGAAGTCTGCAATCGCCCTCCGGTCGTTTCGTTTTACTGTTATCCCTCTCACAAGTATTAATTCTCTTTATATATTTATATTCCGAAGCAGCCGGAAAACAAGGAGATATAGAGACGGAATGGAATAGAAAAACTAAGCAATTCCTTTGCGTTTCTCTCCTTGTTCCATTACTTTCTACATATGTGTACAGTCTGCAATTTCTTTCAAGAGAAAAGGACTGCTTTTCTAGCTGCAATGCAGACATTTAGTTTTGATGCATTTTGCAAACAAAATTTATGTCTACTTCAAGAAGATTAATCTTATTTTATTGCCATATGGATGGAATCTGAATAATTCGAAGATTCGTATGCTAATATTCAATTTTTTTTAATCCCGTCGCAAATTGAATTAAGTCGTAAAAGTCTGAGGGGATGAGAGTTTTGATCAATTCTTGTGAGATGGAGATGGGATCAATGATCTTGCGAGCACCGAAAACATCCCTTCTTCGACGACAATCAATCACTATTACGAAAATATTACCAGAGGAAAAGTCTTTTTTTTTCTTCCTTCTTCTTCCTTGTGTTCGAGGAGACGTCGACATTGATGAGCTTCCGCGAAATGGATGAAAATAATGTTTTAACCCACTTTTAAAAACTTGATTTCAACGTTTTTGTTAAATCAATATAAATTGTTTGAAAGATTTTGTTAAAAAGATCTTTCTAATATTTACAAAATTTGATAAAAATCTATGAATTAATTAAATTTTATGAAGAATTATATAACAAATTGTTAATTTATTAATTGATAAAATCAATATCAAGTTACAATTTGTCAAAAAGCATACTTTACAAGTAGAATTTCAAGAGTTAAGAGTTTTATTTGATTGTCAATTGAACTAATTAATGATGAGTATAAAGAAGAAGAAGTGGTTAATTTGAACTAATTAGTAGCTAATGCGAATAAACCATGACATAAATAATTGAATAAAACATTCAATGGATTGGTAATACCGGTCACGTGCATTAAGCGTATAAATATTAATGGACGCATGCAACCCCATCTACCTAATTACCAATTGACTAATACCGTTCACTATTACCAACCCATATCCTATGGAAGGAGTCTGTGGGTGTTGGGTTTGTGTATATAACGTGTTGCTGCTCTCTGTAATTGATATCGATCGAAGCACCGAATGGAAAAGAACCCGAAACCAAACCGGTCGCATTGTTCCGTTACACAATGGCACACGAATTAGTTTCGTAATCGACGCAAACGCGATACCAACATCGAAACAATGCAAATGGATATTATCGATTTGGAAAATAAAAGTTGATAAAAACATATGAAACAATTAATCGTATAACAATAACAAACAAAATAAAAATTATACGAACAATGCTAATTCGATTGGTCACAATCCAATTAACATTTGA